ATTACATATGTGTTAAAACAATCTGAAATATAAAGAGAGTAGAATAAATTATTAAAATAATTGTTAATTAATCAATAGAAGTGTCTATTTTTATTAAAAAGCTCAGAATATATGTTAGGAGCACCGTCCTCTTCGAAGTCTTCTGTTAGACTGAGTCAAAGTCCTCTAGAAAATTACTTTTATTGAAAGTTGTTTATATGACTTTCCGAACAATGCGCATGTGTATAAAAGAAATAATTCACCTAATCAATAAAATTTAAGATTATAACGTTCTCATTTTAGTATTCTTTTAATTTTTATGTAATTGTTTAAATAAATGTAAATTTGTTTTAACGTTCCCGTGCAGTGGTAACTTCGGAGGGGGAAATTTTCCTCGAAAAGAATATCACATCGAAATCATTTAATATTTAAAGTATGTTAATAAGTGTGTAATGCTTATACTAGTACATATATGTTTAAACAATCTGAAATATAAAGAAAGTTTATTAGAGTATTAAAATAATTGTTAATTAATCGATAAAAATGTATATTGTAATCCATAAGCATGGATTTAGCTGTCGATGTTCTTTCCTCTTCGAAATCTTCTGTTAGACTGAGACGTTGTCACATAAAAGTTTTTTCTATCGAAAGTTGTTTATATGGCTTTCTGAAAGTTGCGCATGAGTATAAAAAGAAAATATTAATTGTATTAAATAGAAATTAAGATTATAACGTTCAAATTTTAGCATTTTTTTAATCCTTAAGCAATTGTTCGAACTAGTGTACATTCGTTGAAACATTCTAACTTAGTTATTACTTCGAATTCAATATTATTTTATATTCAAAGTATTTTAATAGATATGTAATGTTTAAAAAATGTACTATTGTTTAAACATAAGTTAAGTATATTCTACGTTCAGTACATTTTGTTATAGCAATTCAATAATAATTATATTAAAGCTTACCTGTACTTAAAAGAAAGCTACGATGATCATTTGTTTGAAAATAGTGAAATTGAAACAGTTTTTCGGTACCTAATCGATAATGCAGATCCATTTATGCGTGATTTAAAATTTAAAGTCCCTCCGGTGCTCAATCATGTCGAGGATGAAAGGTCCTAATTTAATTAATAATGCAATTAAATAATGCACTTTCTTTTTTATTACGTGTTTCGTTCGTGGTTAGTAGTTATGAAATCGAGCATTAATTTACTCGTTTTCATCCAGAAAAGCATGTAATAAATGTCTTACATGCATTGCTTCGTACTTAGTTTATCTAATCGCGATTAATTTCGATATAAAAATATAAATATATATAATTACTTAAAATTCTATTACAATATAACTATAATATGTATACTATCAATGAATATATCATATACTATCATATACTATCAAAGAATACAGTTAAGTATATAAGTTTGTGTCGTCATCGCGTTAAGTACCTACTTTTGCCCACTGGTGGTCCTAATAGTAACTAAAATGAAACTGTGTAGATAAAAAAGAGAACTTGTGTGCTTCTGTATTTTTTGAATATACCTCCAATCTGACTTACCGACCGAATGACACTGTTTTACCTTAGGATAATAAAGTCTTTTAAATGAAATGAAAATAGTTTGTAACGCGATTTAAAAAAAATATTAATATCATCTAATTGAATTAATTTCTTATTTTTCACTCTCATTTAAAGCTCACGAAATATGTGTACCATGTTAAAATTAATTATAAAGAATAATTAGATATTATTTATAATGTAAACGTATTATTAGACGAATAGTGTATATATGTTTTAGAAAATTATTATCGTATTATATACTTAAAAAATATAAAATATATATAAATGAATATATTTAACTTAGAATATCTCGAGAGTTAAGCGCAGGCTTATAAAGCCTATTGTTTTGTACAACGTAGCTATGACTACAATGTATGGAATAGGCAAGTAATCTAGCTCAAAGTTTTCTCGCAGAAGAAATAAAATTAAAAATAAACGATCGCCAGAGGAATTAAAAATATTCTATATTACTAATAAAATAAACGATGAACGACAAGGAAGATTGTGCGTGGGTCTTTGATTCTTTAGTTGGATTTTTGCAAGGTCCAATTTGGTCTGCGCCATTATTGACCTTCATTGAAGAAAAATCATTGAGTAGGTGTCAATTTATAATTATCTAATTAAAAAAACAAACAACGAATAAAATTAAAAAAATAGTCATCTTATTCTTATTCCCTAAAAAGCATATTTCTTCGTAGAAAGAAATGATAATAAAAAAACTTGGTTTTCATTGTTTGTATTCAACTATATATATGTGCGCAAAATTGCGAAACGATGCACTTTAATTTATAGTTTTCGAAGCAGACGATGAGGAGAATAACGAAGAATATCATAAAATTTATCAAGAATACAAAAATTTGGTTGACCTTTTACTCGGATGTTTCATGGAGGACATGGGCATTACGCCGGAACAATTCGAACACGCGTGCAACGTTAACAAAAATACAAAAATGCCGATACACTTTCAACAAGTTAGTAAAAAATAAAAAGGAACAAACAAAAACAAAGAAACAATTGTCAAGAAATATGCAATCACATAATATTTTTTTGTTATTATTACATTTCAGAGTTTATTCGAACAGATATGGGCGGCGAACGAGTATGGAATATTTAAAAGAATGATGATACAAAAGAATTTAGAATTACAACTGCAGGCATTAAACATGATCGAACAAAAATTTGGCCTAACTCCAGCTTCTCTTATGTACGAAACGGAAGGTTTGCAGGATGAAGAATTGGTCATGGAGGAATTAATTAAGTAAGCTCGAAGTTCTCGTTTTGATTTAAGTTTGATGTTCCTTCCAAATAAAAATAAAAATAAAAAAAAAAGTAATTAACATGTTTTCGTAGTAAACACATTATGGAGATAAAAAATGATGAAGAAGCAATACCCATGGAAACTTCTCTCGCGGAAGAACACAAACGTCTGGCTAACGAGTATCATAACGAAAGAACATTAATGGAGGAAGCTTTGAGAGCAACAACACGATCATCTGAAAATTCTTCTCCTGAATTAGAGCCGAATAGTTCTCGGAAAAAGATCGAAGCACAAATTGAAAAATTGGACAAATTGCCTCCGTTAAAAACATTTCAACCGCTTGATCCAATACCTTCAACAAAAATTGAACGAGTTAAAAATAATGTATATAGATATATATATATTAAGAGTTTATCGATATTGATGATGCAAAAGTAGGGAGGAAATTATTTTATGTTAAAAAATAAATCGAAAGTGTGGAATAATATTTGTTTGCAGGAATTTTTCTTTTGAAAAAGTTAAGTTTGAAGAAAGAAGTTGTATAAAAAAAATGTTATTTTACGTTTTCGATTTATTTTTGGTATATATAGTCATATTCTTCTTGCTTGTATTATCAATATCGCACCCGGTATACAAGGATGGGTTGAAAAGTTATGAACCTCGATAAAAATATAAACTTTTATTTATTATTATTATTATTATTCATTGTGATTATACATTTATATTAATATAGTATAATCGCTTTTATTTGTTTAAAAGCGATTTTTGACTGAAAAAGAAAACTTTCTATGTTAGGCTCGAAACTTTTCAACTCGTCCATCTATGTACATATAAAAATTAATATTACATTAATATTTATATATACATAACGATACACATGTAAATGTATACATATTATATGCAAATAATATAGTATTATTTTTTGTTGTAATTAAAAATAATTTTGTACTCGCTGAGATATGGAATAACCTGAAGATATTTTCAGACGAAAGAAGAGGATATAAAAAGACGACAGGACTATCTGAAAGCAAGACGAGACGAATTGGTAGCCCTAAAGAAAGAAGTACGTAGTCAGCGGCTCGAAATGAATTCAACTCGTCCGAGTTCTGCTCGAGTAGTTGCAGATGCAACGATTAAAGGTGAACAGGAATTAGACGTTGATCAGTCATTGGAACCGTCAATTCTTCAAGTACGTAAAGCTTTAGCGGCACGATTGAAGGCCGAAGTTGTGCAAAAGTGAAGTGAATATTAATATTAATATTAATATAAATAATAATAATAATAATAATAATATATTTATCGTTACTATACGTATGTGTTATTTGCCGTAATCGTAACTAAATTAATTAATTAATATTCGCAAGAGGCAAATTTTCACCTCCTTTTCTTTTTTTAATTAATTAATTAAAACTTTTTCTTATTGTGTTTTTGTTGATCTATAAGCTTTTTCATTTAAGAAATGAAAAAATATAATATAAAACGTAGATATTACGCAAACATTTCGTTTCGGTATATTCGTATTATGAAAGGTTTTATTTGTATATAAATGGCTAACTTGTTTCAAATATAATACTTGGATTGCTCATAAATTACATAAATACTATGCATACTACTTCATTACTCAGTATCTCGTTCCCTTTTAACGATATAAATAATAAAAGAATACGATCGTGTCTCTCTTTCTCTCTCTCTCTCTCTCTTTTTTTTTTTTTTCTTGAAGAATAAAATTTGCAATTATTGCCTACATGATCATTGAATATTACAGTCGACGTTTTCTTGTTATCAGCAATATTTACAGTGGTGTTATAAAATATGAGCAGAAAAGATAACGTGTAATTTTTTTTTTGTTTTTCTTTTTTTTTTTTTTTTTTTTTTATCGATCAAGTTAAACGTTTTTCTTTTCACGACAACGAGCTGGTCCCCCTCAGGAGGACCGACCGTGTATCACGTCATCGAGCTCAAAGTGAGTCTATTTCTATCCTGGTTTNTTTTACTAAAAGTGATGATAAATATATAAAAACCTATAAATTTTTACGAGTAATTAAATAATAATAATAATAATAATATTAATAATAATTTTTTCACAAAAAACAATGAAATATTGAATTCGCTGATTGAATCCGATTGGAAGTAACAATTTTGCGAGTAACGCTTTTCTTATCTTTTTTTTTCAAGGTAGGGTCGTTAAACTCTATCTAACAAACGCGTATTTCATCTAAATTTAAATTTTATTTAATTAAATATTGTTCGCACTTCTACACCAGACATATTTTGGGTTTCAGTCGTTCGTTCATTTTCGCCTCTTTTTATGTGACCAAATTTAATATTTAATAAAGACAGATTTTTGTAGCAATAAACAAGCAATAAGTATTTTAATGTGTAATCTTGTAATTATTATTATCATAACAATATGTACACATTAATTACACATATAACACGATGTAAATTAGATTTTTAAAGTATATTGACAATAATTAAAAATAAAAAAGAAAAAACAAAGAATCAAAAAAAGAAACGAAAAAGATATGATAATGTTACAAAAATGAGAACAATGCTAACGTCTAACGAAAATCATATATCACGCAAAGCAATAACGTTAAAAATTACACTCTGATTAAACGTTAAAAATAAATTATTGTAAATTCTTTTAAAAGTCGATCAACATTTCTTTATTTAATGATTCATTAAATAAGATATACGTAAATTCGAATTAATCGACTCTTATAAGATACTCTCTCTTTCGTTTGATAATCCAAATATACCTGTTGCATTAAATTTGTTGTTTTGTTTTTTAAATATATGTTTGTCTTTTTTACAACGTTGCTTGTTATATGCTACTTATTCTGCCTGTGTAATTTAATATTCGGCTTAGTTTAATTTAATCTCATCGCATCATTCATTCACCGACAGAATAAAATGCAAAATATGATCTTTCGTTTATAGTCCATTCACATATTTTATCGTCGTAAATACACATTCATTTTCTTTCATATAATCGTTCGTATTAGCTTACAGAATTCGTGAACAGGATTTTCTTATAAAAAATCTTCTCTGTCTCTTTATTATGTGTGGTATGTGTATACGTGACTGTCTGTCTGTGTATTTTATTTTCTACTTGGGTACATGTTAGAGAGAGAAAAAAAATGAAAAATAAAAATGATATATGTCACATTTCGCTGGTATTTTAAATGTAAAACGTACGTCGTTATCTTTAATATTTAATATCAATATTATTATTATTATTATTATTATTATTATTAGCACGTGGTAATTGTACAATGTGCAAAACTTCCGTTCTTTGATAAATGTTACATCAATGTGATGATTTGTGTAATATTGAATACAACAATTTTGGTAACAAACAGCCGGACAATATATTCTTTTTTTTTCTTTCTTTTTTTTTTTTAGATTTCTCGACTTTAAATGAAAATTTTCAAGAGTACTCCTGAAAGGTGCTGCTTTTTTTCTTTCTTTTTTTTTTCTTCACATATTTACAACTTAATTCTTCTAACGGATGTCTTGCGTAACGTTTTACGATATGATTAAAATTTGGTGACTTTTTTCGTAGATCACAATCTACGAATATTTTTTTTTGTTCATGTATTTCTTCCTTTCTTTCTTTTTTTTTCCTTTTTTTTTTAAATTTTATTATTAATTCTTTAGTTCTATTTTTATCTTCGCTCTCTTTGAAATGAATTAGTTAACATATGATGAAATAAAAAATAAAATATTGGAACTTAAGACGGTCTAACGATAAATTCTTCCTAAAAAAAGTATAGGAATTTGACATCCCCCTTTATTCCCCTTTGCTCTTTTCTATCTATTGCGTATCTTTCTATAAATATATATATACTCTCAATTAAGATTATTCTTAAAGAGTATAGTAGAATAAAGAAAAAAAATGTATATGAAACTATTAAGTAGAAACATTATGCTATAAACGCATAATATATTTCGACTGTTCATGATGTGGAAGCATATTAAAAAAATAATGGAAAATGATAGCGACAAAGCCTTAAACACACTCTGTACAAAAATACATTGAGTATAATTTAAATAGCATATGATTGCATCTTTACTTTAGTATCACTTAGGTATTAAATTCATCCGTTTATTAATTTACTTACATTCGCCGCACCCAAATGTAGCATAATCTATGCCTCTAAGAATATTCTCTTCCTTATTTACGGAATAAATTGTGAATATATGCAAAACACACGGAAATACATTACTCAATATTCTGTTGTTATCTTAACTATCTAATTAATATATGTATTTTCAGTTACATTATTTTATTTTCTGTGGTCATTTCAGAATTAACAACATTTTATATATATACACACATTTTACTCAGCTCCAGCGAATTTGCCTACTTGAATTTATTATTCACAATATTACTAATCTCGATGAACGAATTAACTTCGCTATCACCTTCCTTTTGTAGTATCATAAGTTAATATATGCGCCTGTCGGTTAAAGTTTGTCAATTATATATGTGCATATGTATATGCTCTTACGACATCACAAAAATTTCAACATTCATACTTACAATTATACAACAGTCTTGGAAATTCATTTATGTTAGACGTATTGAAAACTCTGTACATTAGCTTATAATACTCTTCGTTTGTTTGTTTTTCTTTTCTTTTTTATAAAGTCAACTCAATCGGTAAGGCAATAATTTATTTTCAAATTGGTCACTGTATATAAGGCCTGCTCTAGTTTAAATGATTTTAGTCAAAAGTAATAGATTCATCTTCGCTATAGATCTTAACTATGTTTTAAAAATTACGGATTTAAACTAGAAAAGTAGACACTCTTTTCTGGAGCTGGCGTTTTTCCTGTTATTCTCATGATCGTACAGAATCTCAATTTTTATGACAAATTAAGATTACACATTGCAGTATCCGAGATTATTCTCATCTCACGGCTCTACTACATAACATAATGTAAGTAGATATGAATATTTTTTATAAATAAGACATTCTTTCTTTCTTGTTCTTTTTTTTTCTCAGTGCACAAAGATTATTCCAGGCTTCTCATTTTGCCCTTGTCATTAGAAAAGAAAAAAAATGATTTATTGTTTTTTTTGTGTGTGTGTACAAAAGATACTATACTAGACTTCTTAATTATATATCCAAGATTTTGTTAAATATTTTAACTTCTTTTTTATATCGAGGATTACTATACGGGCATGAAGTGCAAACTGATAAATATACATAAATCAAATATTTATTGTACAACTTCTACTACTTACATTGATAACCAAAAAAGTCTTCAAATGTATCTTGAAGGAAACTGAGATTGTGAAGTAGTCGCATATTTTCTGCTTAATCCAAGTATGTGGTCGTTTTACAATCGTTACAAATATACATATATATACAAACTAAATATTATTTCCGTAGTTGGATAAAGATTCGTGGCTTCCTGACCCTAGCAAAAACAGATTTCAATCGCTCGTACCACTAATTTTAAACCGTGGATGGCAAAGACACAAACTGTTTTTGTGCGGTTTGTAGATCATGTACTTAAACATCCGAAAATGGTTCTTTACACGACTTGTAGTAAGTTCCTGTTTTCCAATGAACTCGTACATGTCAATATTATAGTCACAGTTTATAGATTTATTAATCTAGACTCAAGTGTATTATTGAGACACCAATGTCTAGAGAATTCACGAGGTTGAGAATATTTCACCTTATCATCTGAGAAAATGTATCCCTACTTAACAGATTTGCATTTAATTGGAATAAATCATCATTAATCCATTTTGAAATTCAGTTAAATTAATGAGTAAACGCTCCTGATATTTTCGGCAATATAATAATACAATTATTTTTCAGTTTTACCTTCACTTTCTTGTCCTGTCAATCCTGTTGTCCAATACGTTTATTCCTTTATTTAATTATTTGTTTTTTTTATTATTATTATTTTTGTTTCTACATTATTTCCCAATCACTGTCTTCTCACACATTCATCTCTTTGTTTAATATACACAATTAAAGAAAGAAAAAAAATATGTAAAAGTTCATCACGCGTTGTATGTTTTAACAAAGCACTTATTCATTGCGTCTATCACTCAGATCAGCGAATACAGTACAATCAGTACTCTTTTCTTACTGTAAATTAATAGATTGTATAACCTTTTCGATCAACTTTTTGTGCACATAATGAGGGCCATATTTGACTATAAACTTTGGAAATCGCACATTCTTTTAATATATTCCCAGTACATCTACCACGACAACCGTTGTCGTTTTGGGGAAGGACTTAATCCAGAATCCTCATCTTCTTCGTCAGAATCTTCTTCATAATCAACCAATCCCTACAAATCGTTTATTGTTAATAAATTATCAAATATTTATTTATTATATATATCATTTCGCGTTTAATCATTTAAAACAACATTAAATTACCTTTCTAATAATAATTCCTGCCTTTTCTACAGTACCAATGGTAGAACTAGGAGTAATCTCAGGTGTAACTGGAGTTTCATTCGTTGTTGATGTACTGTTGTTTACTTGAGTTTGCTGAGGAGTTATATTATTATTTGCTGTATTATTATTTAACACAGATTGTTGTTGCTGTTGTTGTTGATGATTTTTCGATTCTGCAAGGGAAGACCCGAGGGCAGAATTAGAAGATGAAGATTGTTTCTTAGCCGAAGCAGGTGGTACCAAATCTGCAGTGGCTGCAGGTACCACTGCTTCTCCCTCATCAAAATCTTCTTCCTCTCTAAACCACATTTCTTCTTCTTCGTCTAACTGTCTCTGATCTCTCCGATATCGGCTGTTTCTTAATATTGACGGAACGCTAAACGAATAAGTAAACAGGAACATCATTACAATTTTCGTTTTCTTTAAAAATGAAAATACCCTCATAAACAAAACAAAAATAACAAAGATTTCATTCCAGCGTTGTGGAGAAATGATAATTCAACTATACAAGAATTTGTGCCATGTTAGGAAGCAAGGAATATTTAATCCCCAAGCAAGTTCTTGTAAAATAAAATATATTGCACCTTGAATACATGTACCTGTCGACCGTTGTTCTGCTACCTTCGTGTTCCTTTATAACTTTAGTATCCGGTTGTTGATCATATTTCAATTTCAATACTTTAAACGTTTGTACATAGTCAATTGCATCTAGTTCTTTAGAAAACTTTTCTACAACGTGCATACAAAGCGATTTGATGTCTTCCTATAATATGCAAAAGATATATGTATATACACATATATGTTTATATATATTAAATATAAAATAATTGCACAAAAATATTGAAAAAAAAAAGAAAGAAAAAAGAAAAAAAGTTTAAAGTTATAATATAGTTACAACTTACCAATTTAATAAATTCAAACATTTCCAAGATAGCAGAATCTAATAAATTGTATCTACCGTTATTCCTTACAAATGCATCAAATACAGGTGCAAATAAATTTCCTTTTACTATATACCTATTATAAAATTCATCTTTCAAAGCTATAATTTTTCTCATAAACCTTAATGCGCACAATACTAAGAACGTATGCGTTGACTTCATTAAAACCAATATTTTTCTAAGTAAATCCTTATTTAAAATGCAATTTTTAATGTGGTATGTATGATGTTCTACACAAAATGATAATAACTCTAATATCAGGCCTAAAAGTTGCACTGTTCTGTAATCTTCTCTTGCCGGTCTTTCGCCAATTGTATTAGCTAATAAAGGAGCTATCAGTGTTCCAATACTATTTTTATAGAAATAATTCAAGAAATCAGTCTTTTCTGATTTGTTGACTGAAGCCAACATATTTTCTGGATCAAGAAGTAGACGTAAGACACCAGCTAACTGTACTGCTCCACCCAATTCAGGATCGCTATCCCCGACTAGTTGAGCGACTATTACATTGACTAACATTTGGTCCTGATCTGTATTATTTATCTGCTGCAATGTATAGTCTCTAACAACACTAGGGGAATATTCCACGATATACGTCAATATGTCAATGCTCGCAGTTTTTGTTTGCGGATCATTTATTGCCAATGTAATTTCCAAGGCAGGTAATATACCCAATGCCGTTAAATTTTTATAAAATGATTCCTTGCCTTGTGGTTGAAGATTTTGAGAAAAATTGCAAAACTCTTTTAAGAAAAGTACCATATCACGTCTTTTATTGTCCGATGTAGATTCATCCGTAAACTGACGAAATAATTCGGTAAGAAATTTTTCGTCGTCTTGGATGAGAGTTACTATTTCAACTTTGTTAAAAAATATAAAACTACTCAATGTACTAAGCATGTTGTCTTCGAATACACTAGGAGTAGGTAAAACAACATCTTGTATATATTGAACTCTATACGTTTGATGAATTTTAGCTAATAATTCAGCATTTGTTATTGGAATTGCTTGTTTAAATCTTGCTAATTGTCGAAGATATTCTCTATGTCTTTTTGGTTGAGGCAATGTTGGTTCGTATTCCAGACATCCAACAACATCAAAAATTGTATCGTCGCTGAACATCACTTCGAACAATGCATTCTTGTTAAGTAAGAAAATATTTTTAAATATATCATAAAGATGATGTAATCCTTCGATATTTTCTAAGTCCTCGCAAGTATGGAACAAATTTAAAAGTTTCTTGATGTACGCTTCAGACTCCAATGCCACTGCAAGTTTTTCCTTTCTCATGGGAGAAGCCAAACAATTTCCTATTAATTCATTAATGTCTTCTAATCGACTTAATTCGCACGGAGGCAATTCTATGGGCGGTGCGGCATCTGACATATCATCGAAGCGTTCATCTTCCGATTCTTCGACAATATCTTGAGTTATTTCAACTGATGGATCTTTGCCTTGAACTTGACATATTTTTTCCCATATTTCATCACAACCAGCCTTTTCTTGAAAACTTAAGGCCAGGTCAAAATTATCACCCTCCGACCATACTATTAAGGTATCCTAAAATCATACACATATCAATATTTAACGTATTTTTTCTTATAATAATATTACATGCAATTCAAAATAATTAATACATTCCTTTGAATTTTTGATAAATTCTCTAAAAAGTGCATATAAATATAAAAGTCATGTAACAAAAAATTAATTATAAAAAACCATATGGCTATTCATAGGCCTGCAACTGCTTCAATAAAAATAAAAAATAAAAAACATAAACACGCATATGTGCACATACATATCAATCAAATAATATTTATTACAATAAATTGTACATACAAACTGAAAAAGTATAAATGTTAGAAGTATAATATAAGGTTATAAAATTGAATGAATAAATAATTACTTGCTGCTTCTGATATGCCGTATCTGGATGTATTTTACTTTCCAACAAGACAGTCCCATCGCTTTCGGCTCTAACCAAAAGCGATATTCCTTTTAATCTATCTACATAGGAAGAAGAAACATGACCCGTTCCACGATCATCCCATTGTCTGTCAGCATTAAGCGCATAAAGCTTAACTCTTCTGCGTGTATCCGTCATGTTTCCAAAAATATCTTGCGTAGTTGCTGCTACTTTCTTTTTTTTATTATTATTTAATGTATTATCACCAACCAGCTCGCATGCCTTAGAAGTTTAAGATAATCCTTCCAACTCTTTCTTTTCGTTCTATCTATCCTTACAAAATTTTCAATTAAATAATAAATGCACGCACAAAAATTCCTCTATCTACCAAACTTTTATTATTTCTCTCATAATCCACTAAGGTATAGCACAATGCCGAACGGTTGTACTTGTTGTTGATGTTGATGTTGATGTTGTTGTTGTTGTAATAACAGTAACAGCAGTAGCAGCAGCAGAGTCAGAAGTCTTAACTTATTAGAAAAAAGTTTTTCTGAATAACCACTCATTCATCTAAATTCAATGATTTCCTTGGTCAGTCTCGAAGAAACTACAATATTAGGAGTGAGTATAAAATACTCATATATCACCATGAGTGTATCTATGTATATGCACTTAGATTGGTATTAATAATAAATAACAATTGTTTAGGTATATCCAAAATGACGAATTAATCCTCTTGGTGTCTCTCTGCACAAATAATAGATGAAGAATAGCTATTTCATTGATAGATTTAAACGATGACGACGACGATGACGACGATATTAATAAACGGCACGATAATCAAATCTGTTGATATTATTAAAGAAATGAAATTCGACGTATGGAAGTACCTTTTATTTCGACGTATATGCTCGAAACAATGAGATTGTTTACCGTTGTTAGATGTTTATAAGCTCGTCAGTTGCATAAGCTTGATACCTGCGCCAACAGTAAAGCTTTTGGGACGCGCGGGAAAAGTTAGCGTAGTACACGCTCTTCCGTGCACGTGTCACAGTCACGTAAACCTACAAAGCGTCAAGCCTATTTCAAGTAATTCATTGAAATAAGCTCGTAGTCGTGAAAGGTCGGAAGGTAATGTTCTGCTAAAAAAGCCGAAGCCCTGTGTGCGCTCTTGCCGCCTGTGTTCTATTCCCGCGGCGAGGAAAACCGATGTAGAACAACACCCTGCTCACTTACAACCTAAATATTACCAATCACACGATTATCTAACACGAATACTTTCAACGCTGTAACTACGGATCATCGCCGTGCTTTTGTATTATTACTCCGAAATCACTCTAAAATTGACATAGACATCTAACAGCCACAACACTACGTTCCGCCATGTTAGATCACAACAACGCGCCACGGGGTTCACTCCACGTATCCCAAAGACTTTTGCGCCAAATACAATTCTATTTTACATGTCATCTATATTTATTTCGAAATACAATTTTATAAGGTTCATTTAAATGATGAATTTATCGATATTAATTTTGATTATTATTTAGATATCGTTTCGAAGAAATCATTTATTTTAAAATACTCATCGTTTAGTTTAATTTAAGAGATATATAAGTGAAATTCTAAATCTTCTTGGTATACCATTTTATTTCATCGAATAATCAGTAGAAAGATTTGAAACTGCTATGCTGTGTCAAAATATTCAATTTATTTTTATCAAAATATGTCATTCATTTCGTATACTCGTTTAATATGCGTTATTCGTTTTATATATTCAGCAGATATGATGTTTAAGATATGTTTTTAAACAATATATTATAAACACATTATTTTTGTTAAGTGATAAATATTGATGACGTTTCCATGTATACATTAATCTTTCAATAACTGTAATATTCTTCAAAAAAAGAAATTCTAATGTATCTTTAATAGATTTACATCGAAGTATGCGAATATTATTATACTTATACACAGTTACGATTAATATGTAACAATATACTATTTATATTATATAAAAATATGCATCGTATATATACATATATATATATATATATATATATATTCTAAGAGAATATATAATTAACTCCGTAAATAATTTATTTCTACGCTTGAGAGAATAAATCAATAATCCAGATATGTTTAATTAATTAATTTACTTATTTCATGTGTTTTTTTTACTATAAATTACGTTTTTAATGATAATTATGCTACTTTATAGATTTACTAGTCTGACATCTTATTACATGTAAATGTATTGAGTATTATTTATTACCAAATAAAAAAGATAATATTCTTGTCGTTTATTAAAAAACAATTCTGCTCCGTTTCAAGATTATTTTCGATGTTTCTATATATAAATAAATGTTTAATGTTTGGGCACATAAAAGATAGGTTATAATCGTTATCGTAATATATTGCTGGATCAATAAAGTTCAATGTACACCACCAGCTATAGGATTTTTGTTATTTAATTTTCTTTTTTAAATTTTCATTAATAATCATGAAAATTATATAATAATGTGCAATAGTATATGAAATATATTCTTGAAATAAAAATATATTTTTGTATTATCACCTTAATATCCAAATAATGTTCACATTAATTACAAATACATGTATACACACATATCTCATACAAAGGTAATAACAATTTCGATTCAAATTGTTATCCCTATTTTATATATATACAATATCCAATTTATAGTAAATAAATATATATTTATACAGGGTGTCCTACAATCGGTGATACAAGCAAGTAGATTATGATTCTACATGAAAAATTAAATAAATAATGGAGAACAAAATGTTTATACGAGGCTTTGCTTTTTAAAAAAATAAGTTTGAAAATTTTTTAAGTTTAAAAGAAACGTGTGTATTTGACTTAGTTTTAGCTCGACGAGTATTATCTTGTTGCGAACTCAGTCGAGCGCACGTGTACTCGAAAAATTTTCAAACTCATTTTTCTCAAAAATATATAGTCTTATATAAACAAATTTTATTCTACAATGTCGACTAAATTTTTCTATAGAATTACTCTCTGCTCGATTGTCATTAGTTACAGGACACCCCTTGTACATATATATATGTATTATAAAGATAAACCCATAACACAATTAGTTTTATATTTTAATATATTGATTATTACTTATTGTTAATCTCTAGTTGCTAAAGTAACGTACAGTAATACTTTTAATGTATTCATGACAATTGGTAAAACAAAAAATTCTAAACAAATATCATAGTCCGTTACACAATAAATGTAATTATGTCACATTGTACAAATATTAGATTATCTACGTGTTAGATTTAATAAAGAAATAATGCTTATTCAGATATCTTAAAGCACTGCGCAGATCTAAACGTCGTTTAGGCAGACATCGATATTTATAGTAATATCAATTTTTTTACATATATTTACATCCATCGATTGGAAATTGTTAAAATAGTTAAATTAATAGGACAATGTATACCTCCAAATAATGCATTAAGTTTACAATATGAATTTACATCGGATAGAATAGGAATAAAAAAAAATAATAATTGTTAATAGTTTGATCAGTATTTGTCCAATTTCACTATAAACGTATGTTAAATAAAATCGAGTAAATTATTAGAATTCTGTTGCAGTGATCACGTCTGTACATTTCTATTATATTAGTATACGTATGGTGTAAATGTATAATCCTAATAATGACATAGAAAATATATATATAAAAGAAAAAGTTTATTCCAAAAGAAAATTAGATGATCACTGCATATAATATATTTATGTATGTATATATATATATATATATATATATATATATATATACACATATATATGTATATTAATATCCAAGAGCATGTTGACTGAATTTAACTTGTACATCATCGTTTCTTCAAAGGGAATGGCAAAATTATAAAATCTTTTCTAAATTTATTTTTACCCACTGTTAAATAATTTATTTCTTAGTTGCAGTCTATATTCGTTCAACAGATTTCCTTTGATCGTTGATCATATCTGTAATTGAGAACGGACATTAATGAAAAAAAACTCATTTGTTAGATAACTTAAGAACTACTTATTCTGTTGAGGTCGGAGCTAAAAATTTCTGTAGCCTACGTCTCCTTAACATTTCTCGATCACTCGTTGGTTCTGTTTCATTGTTTGGTGATGATTCTGAAGTTATTTCATTGTTACTTGTGCATGATGGACTAACATTATTTTCGTTAACCTTGTTTGAAACAGAAGCAGCATCTGTATCTGTTACAGTATGATAACTTTCACCTTCGCTTGTACTAGCCAGACATGTATCTTTTTCTTGCTTTTTAGCTGTATCTTTTGGTACATCTTTAGTTTCTTCCGCTGCTGATGTTGTTGCTGCAGTTTGAGCTGAAGCTGAACCAGGAGCTGGAGTTGGAGCTGTAGGTTTAGGGATGCTGTAATAAATAAAATTATCAATAGTAATGATAAAGAATTAATTATACGTATCTAATCGGTAAATGATAATATAGACATAATTTATTAATATATTTATTATATTTTTACTGACTTAGCAGTAGCAGCTGCTGCTTGATATTGATTCATCATAGCATTAGCAGCATCTAACAACAGCTGTACTCTCTGTAATGTTTGTATTCTTGCTTCTACCGCTTGTCGTAAATTACCCTCCATTGCTCTGAGTTCATCTTCTGTAAGTTCCGTTAAATTTGGTGGAGGTGTAGGAATAGGTGGTAATGGTACCATAGGAGGAAATGGAGGAGCAAAAATTGGTACACTTCCTGTCGGTAAATTTTGAAATGGCGTCAAAGGAACAGCTCCAGCATTATTTTGACCTTGCGGTTGTGGCATCACACCCGGAGCTTGCAATCCAGCCCAAAAACCTGGTAATTGGAAGCCCTGACCTGTATAAGTAACATTATAAAAAAAAATATTATTACAATTTTACTTATAAGAAGAAATAAAGGTAGTATAATACCTTGTGGATTTAAGACTGGTGCTGGTGGAGGTTGGGGTGCTTGTTGATTTTGCTGTGGATTCTGTTGTCTTGTACCTGTATTATTTGTAGTTGGTCTCAAAATATTTAAGCGACACGTTGGACAAGTTTGTTGACGTTGAAACCAAGAACGAAGGCACGCAGTATGAAAAATATGATTACATGGCAACTTTTTACTTGCCGATACCATCTCTTCTCTGCCAATGATATTATATATATTTGCTTATAACGAAATAAATTATTAAAGAATACAAAAATGATAATAATATTAACTTACCGACATATTATGCATACATTATCAGCAGCTGCTAATTCTTCGGGCGTTGCATCCGGATAAAGTGTATTCATGTTTCTAATAGCTCTGCGTGACATTACAATGTCATGGAACGCCTTTTTGAAATCTCGCATTGTATAGTACATAGGACGAAGTGCGAATAAGGGTAGAGTAAACAGTTTAATCATTAAACTTACAAAAGCAACATATAAGGTGACCTAAAAATAATAAAATTATGCAAAATTACTATATATAACAAAAAATGTAAATACGAGTGTCTAAATTTAAATATACCTTTAATAAACCAATAACCAAATCGGTATATAAAAGAAATACTGGCTTATTATCCCATGGATTTTCACTTTGTAAATCTATTGTGTGTAACACATATTTCACCGTAATATTTATTACAACAGTCAGCAAAATTGCATATTCGAATCCAAAGACTAGTTGTACCGAAGGACCTTTAGTAGCAGTAGTATTATATGCATAATGAATCATCGTTAAATTAATAATAAATAGAAGTCCTAATAATGTAACAACTCTAAGATGAAACAGCCACGTTATCACCGGACTTCTTTCCATCTATAAATATCAAAGAAATATAAATCCTTGATTGTATGCTAAGAGAAATAATTAGTATTATAAAATATTAAAGACAGAACAAAATAAAATACTTACATAATCAACACGATCTTCGGCTAACCAATGAAATGATTTAAGGAACAATAAAAGTGTAAATAATGCTATAAATTTAGGACTGAAATCGTCTCTAAACACTGTAAAAGCTAAACAAGTCTCGGTTACTGCATACCATACTTTCTCTACCAAATGCTAGAAACAGTGTTAACTGATTAATATCATATTTTCTAAAAGTGATAATATACACATAAAAAGATAAAAAATAACATAAATTGTATCTCATATTCACCTCAAGTTCAGCAGCACGCAAAGTACCAAAAAATAACTTTCTAAGGAATGCATTTATCATGAAAACAAGTATCAAAGTTTGAGCATAGATTACCTAAGGAAAAATCATGACAACAAATTAAGAACGTACAATTATTATTAAAATGAAATAATGATTAACAATAATACTTACAGTCATGCTCGGATTTGATTTGGTTATGTGGACTACCGTCGGATAAAATTGTTTTCGTTGATAATAGGCATTGCCAATTACGGCGCACGTTAATGCTGCACTTATTAACATTATCCCTGCTTCTCTCATTTTTATAACCGTAATATATTTTCAGCCTTAGGGCTACGTTTTTATAAGGGAGGAAAAAAAAAATATATATATATATACGTAAAACAGATACAATGACACTTAGCACTAAAAATTTACGTTTCAATCAGTTTCGACAGCTGTCTTCTACCCTATCAAGGGCGCTGCTATCAAAACGGTCTTATTGTCAACTATCTTATATCACGTTTACTTACAATCAACTTTTATCGAGGACTTTTTTATTTATTAAAATATTTCCATTTAGCGATTAATATTGAATATTTTTTTAAATATTGTAGCAAGATTATTTCAATGCAATTATATGTCACAAATATTATATATAGAACATAGTTAATATCGAAAAGTAACAATTCGTTTTTAAACGTTTTCTTACTGATAATACATTAAATGTTTAGACAAACGGCGCGATGTGATTGGTCGTTCGTATGATACGTTCCATACGTTAATATAACACGTGGATCTTTTTCATCTAGATCATAACATTTTAAATATTGTTTATGTATATGTATATATCAAATTTGTAATTCATAATTATAAACAAACAAATATATATATATATATATATGCACACATTTTAAGATTATTTTTCTATACTATATTAATTTATTAACACATGTCAGGAATATTATGATATACAAAATGTTAACAAAAAAATGGAGATATAAAAGTACAATATTATACAAAATGATTTGATTTAAATAAATAAAATAAGACTAAATATTTCCTTGAATAACAAATTATTTAGGCTTATATATTATGTTTACATTTATGCGTACAGTCATTAGAAAATATAAGTTCGTATGTATATATATATATGTATATATATATATATTATATTTATGTCGTAGATTGTGTAAAATATATCTATTTTGAACTTTTATTATGATAATAATAACATTTCAGTATAATAGCATTTGTAACAGATGACTAGGTTTTAGACATTTTCAAAATACAAATATTTGAAAATAATTCTAAATACAAAGCTTTATCGATGTTGTAATCTTACACATATTTGTATGGCCACATATTGGAGAAGTATTTCTTATTATAATTTTATTCTAAAATTTCAATATTTAATGATCGTTCATTAAATTTGTAGCTTTTGAAATACGCTTGGGACTTTGATATTTGGATACTTCTGAATGCGCTATAGCTTTCAATGGTGTTCTACGCGTATCGATTGGTGGACGTCTCATAAGAGATTTGGAACTTTTAGGTGTCTTCATGGCTAATGGTCTTTTGATGCGTGGTGTTCTACACATTTCGTTTTCAGATTTATAAATATTCACATTTGATTCTACAGTTTCTACTTTGTTCATAGACACATTTTTTAATATAGATGGAGTTCTTACAGCCATGTTTTCTTTTTGCGGACTACATTTTTTACTGTCTCTATTGTTCTGTTCGTTCGAATAATAAGATTTCTGCATTCTTGGTAGATTGCTACCTTTCTCCAATAGATTTTGTTTATATTTGTCCGAATGTCTTCTACCATTATGATGCTGTTTTTCAAAATCTTCTTCTTTCGTTTCTAATGATATATCTATCAAATTATTTTTATTTCTTAACGATATTTTTGGTGACTGGATTTGAGTCAAATCTTTATTCCTTATATATCTTTCGAGTCTTTTCGAATTATTACGTTTAATTTCCAAATCGCAATATGACTTATCTAAATTCGTAGTATTATTTATCTTTTCGGTTGTAAATTCCTTTGTTAATTCTTTCCTACTACCATTTACTGTATAACATCCTTTTTGATTTTGACTATTGTCGAACAAACAAGTAGGCACCTTTACTGTATTTTCATCGAATAGTTTTGCTTTAGCTAAGACCATGCCAGCATTTTGAGTTCTAAGTTTAGCGACGGATGCTCGACCCGTTTGAGGAACCGGTGTACGTATTTGAGCGGTAGATTTGAAATAATCATCTGCATCTTTCCAAGATATCGATGTCTCTTTCCAATTTTGAGGAATGTTATTGTGTTTATCTTGATAATCGTTATTTAGAATAACATTTTGTTGGCTATTAGATTTCTTCAATTCTTTGATTTTATGATTAAAGTAAAATGAATTATCTATAAATTCATTGCCATGAAAAGATGATGCTCTACGAACGGATAACTTCAATGGATTTGTTCTAGGAGTATGCACACCGATGTCATTAATACTCAATTCAGCGTCAGTTAATGAATCTCTTGTATGTTTTGTTGTATGAGACATTATAGCATTTAACTGTTTTTGTAATAATTCCAATCTTGTATTTGTTTCTGAACTGCACAACGATTCATTTCTCAAATTTGATATTTGTTTTGTTAGTTTATCTATATCTGGTTCTTCATTTGCGAAATAAACTATTTCTTGATCGTTGGATTGATTTCTATATTTATGTTGCCAATCTTGAGATCCGTGCCATGAATCTGTACGATTAACAGATTTACTGTAAATTAAAAAATAGTAGTTAATGTTTTGCTATTAATTATTTATATATATATACTATATCATAATGATAATTATATCATAATTACCTTTTAATTTTTTCTTGAGATCGTCTTCGTAAAATTCCTATTTTTCGAGCACTGGGTGATCTTATAACTTTACGCTCACTCGATTTTCTGATTTTTAACTCCTTACCAAGTTTCCTTGCCAAATGATCAGCTGTTATAATATTTTTAATACCTGCTTCCTCTAACGTTTTTTCATACTCCGTTTGTACTTTATTCACAGAATGTTCTACCAAACTTTCATTCCTTACATCATCGATATATCCAAATTCTTGCGAGATACGAGATTCAATGGCAGAAACTCGATTTTTTATTTCCTCGTATTCGCTCTTTGGTATCCTTACATATTCTTCACATTCATTTTTTGGCGGAGTTTCTATAGATGCCTCTGAATTTTTCTTCGTATGTTTCAATTTGTCTGTATTTTTATTAGATTTTTGCCAGTGATTAATATCACTATTATTATCGGCTTCTTTACTTAACAATACTTGTTCGTTATTATAATCTGATAAATTGATATCAGCGTCAACGAATACATCGCTACAATTGCTATCGTGTTTAGAATTCGAAGTTTCTGTTTCTTTTAACACTAATTTTTTAAAATGCAACGAACCATCGCTGTTTGTTCTACGTTTTTCATACGATAAAGGAGAATTTTGCTCCAAACTCCATCGTCTGTCAGTATATGGATTGTATGTTAGTATATTTGACGTTGAGTTTACCTTCTGAAACAAGTTAAATAAAATAATTTAATTAAAACATGATGATAAAAAAGTGTATACATAGTTTATTAAATATATATACTTACTTGTTTATTTTTTGATACAAACCGATCTATATTTAAACCAGCTTTTTTAGATTTTTCCATTTTATCGCTAACTCTCCTAAAATGTAACATCATATAATGTATTAACTTGTTATTTACCAACAAAAAATTGTTTATATACTATTTTTTCCATACATACTTTTTCTTAGTACTTTGCGGGTCTAGCCATTCAATGACTTTTCGTTTTTTCGTAGATTTAGTAGATGATGTACAGGTCGTATTTGAATTTGTAACAGAATCCTGATTCTCGTTTATTTCTGTATTCACAGGTGAATTACTTTTTCCAACAATCTTCTTTAAACCATGGAGCATTCCTATAAAAAATGTAATAAGAAGTGATATTACACGATATAAATGAAACAATTAATATTTGTTTTTTCTACTATGTACAATTTCATTCACAATTGTATTAGTAAGGATTCAAACAAAAATATATATTAGTATTTCAAGACATGCATTTACAAGATCAATTAAGTAAAGATTTTTAAATACAATATAAGAGGAGGATTAGTATTGTTAATTGTGAAAAGACAAATAAATAATGATTCTTCTACATAGAATATGCGAATAGATATGTTAGGTTCATATAGACATACTTAGATTCAGGTTAGAGGCACTTAGATGTGGCTTACGCGTAAGACTTCCACTGCGATATTTCTTTTTCTTCATTTTTCCATGTAGTTGCGAATCGGATAGATCCAACTCATTATCAATGCTACCAATAACTTCAGATAAAATAAGATTGGTTATGTGGTCTGGTAAAACGCCTATATTTTCAGCATTTTCTATCAAAATCTAAAAACCAAATCAATGTCTCATAACATTCATAAATTTTATTAAACTACATTATTAAAACTTTAAGAAATTTAATATTACTTTGACAATAACTAAATGCAATTCAAGTCTACTTTGAACAGCCACCATGGTAGCTTCTCTCAAAGGCATAATATTAGGACCGATAACTTTGGCTAAATTGTCAATGTTCATTTTGTTCTGTTTCTCATGAAGAGATACTTTTTTAAAAAATTCCATTATGAAAGCTAAAGTATTTAAATGATAAGGTGGTAACAATACGCAAGCCAATAACAATGCTTGAACTTTGTGGTTTTTTAACATTGCACAGTGTAAAAATAAATCATGATACGTGTATGGTATTAGTGGCTCCGGTAAGTCTCTGAAGAATGTTTTTAAACAATTGGCTACATCGATAGCATGATTTTTTTCTCCTAATGATGAACCCTTATCCAATAATGCCATCAATTCTTTTTGTCTTATGTGAGATCCAGCTTTTCTGAACAAACCTTCTTGAGTAACATGTTTTTCAAGAAATGCAGATGCTTGACTGACAAATACAGGCACGTGAACAATGCCACCGGATGATAAATTAACAACGTCTAATGGTTGATAAGACAAAGGTGTACGAAAAACTTTCTTAGAAACATTTTTACTTCTTTCAAATTTATCCGGCTTAATGGCATTCTTTTTAAAGCGATATTTAACCCCAATGTTTCTGAGATCGTTGATAACGATTTCATACACTTTTTCTTTATGTAAAACATCATAAATCAGCATATTCGACCTTGAGGTTATCTTTTAATTATTACACACTAAATATTATTAACTTTTCACATATAAATATATTAATATATATTTGTCTATTTTTACATTTTATCACCACTATTTTTTACGAATCGATAGGGATAAACAGTTTTAGATATTGTTCGAAATGAACGTAGTTGCAAGATATTACAAAAATATTATTTTTATTTCTCACTTGTTGACAAATGTATTGAGAAATAAATATCTTTATTCAATGTAAAATTTCACTTTATTAAAAATTACACTAAAAAATTATAATCTGTTAAAATATATTAGAAAAGAAAAAATAATCTTTTCAATGCAACTATAAAAATTGATTCGAAGTTGTCTCTTATCGAATGAATTAATAGCGCCATCACTGCCATCTACATTATCGCGCGAAAAATTCTCGTTACGTATTACGTTCAAATTGAAAATATTTATAGCAAAAGAAAAACAATTTTTTAATTTAAAAATAATTTATAACAAATATTAATAACAGTCTTTATCTTTCTCATTTCATTATAATTTGTTATTGTAGAATTGAAAAACGGTTGATAGACATCTTGCTTTTTAATAATTTTGTCAGTAATTTAATAAATTGCTTATCATTTGTTTCTTTCTAAACAATGAACTACCGACGTTCAATTTTATATTTATTAACTTTCTTCGTAAGTAAATTTACTTATACGCGTCCTTTGAAAACGTTATATAAAATACAATTAGTTAAAACGTTTAACAACGATCTTAGAAGAGTTTATTCAATCGTTAATTTATCGTACGGTAATTAAATAGTTTTCTTATAATTATCCTCACAAAAGAGAATGAGTTTACTGTTAAGAATAATAATGCATTTGCCAGAGGACGATTAGAATAGTTTCATGCGCAAGACAAGCTGCAAATCGATACTTATATATTGCGAACTATATACATGATGCTCTGCACATGCTGCTTGCAATCTTCTATATGCGAGACTAGAGGGACAGGTCTAACTTTAGCAACAGTCTCTTTACCGAAATATCGCTTCTACTTAGAAAACTAATTACACGTGTTTGCCTATTATTAGTATTAAAATTATTTATTTAAAAAACAATTAGATTCTATTAAAAAAAACAACATTCAAGTTTAACATACATATTCCTATGAATTGTATGACATAACTAAACGTTATTTCCAGATACCAGTTGTACAAGTCCAAATATGCAGTTTTTAAAATTATCATCTGGTCATAATATGCCTACAGTAGGTTTAGGAACATGGCAGGTGATCAAACAGTTTTATTTTAGACAATTTTATTAATGTATATATATATAAAGATTTGCAATTAATATTGATAGAATGAATATTATTTTATTAAGTCAATATATATCTTTTAATACTTCCATAAGGCTAAACCTGAAGAAATTGAAGCTGCTGTCGGAACCGCTTTGGAATGTGGTTACAGACATATTGATACTGCATTTAATTATAATAATGAAGAAGCAATTGGAAGAAGTATAAAAAATTGGCTTAACAAAGGTGGCAAACGGGAAGAACTCTTTGTTACATCAAAGGTAATACGATTGTATATTTATGTGAAAAAATTGTATATTATTTAATAATTGTATTATATTATTTTTTGTAAAAATATGAAGTGTTGTTTTTTTTTGTTACAGTTGCCCCATTTTGGTAATAGACCATCAGACGTAGAAAAATTTCTTAAATTATCATTGGAACGTCTTGGATTGGATTATTTGGATATGTATTTGATTCACATGCCATTTGCCTTTGCATTAGATAAAAATTCCTATGTTCCTGCAGCTCGAGAAGACGGTAGTTATATACTTGATTTAGACACAGATCCAGTTTCGGTATGGAAGGTATAATATGTATAATTTATATTATAAATATAAATGTTCTTCATCCGCTTATAATAATAATATAATCATTGAACATTTTTAGGAAATGGAACAACAAGTAACAAAAGGTCTTGCCAAATCTATAGGCATAAGTAATTTTAACGAAGCACAAATATTAGAAGTATATAAAAATGCACAAATAAAACCGAGCAACTTGCAGGTATAAAGTTTATTGATGTCATACTTATTATAAAATTAAGGTCAGAAAAATCAATTAATGTATATATTTTTTTTATAACAGGTTGAATTGCATGCGTATCTGCAACAGAAATCGCTAAGAGAATTATGTCAAAAGTACAATATTACTGTAACAGCTTACAGTCCATTAGCATCACCTGGAGCTAAATCCCATTTTCAAATAAAATATAATTATAGTCTGGATAAATTCCCTGATCTTCTTGGACATCCCGCTGTACTTGAAATGGCTAATAAATATAAAAAAACACCAGCACAAGTGTTATTACGACATTTGGTACAAGAAGGAATTGTTGTTATTCCAAAGAGTTCATCGCCGGATAGAATTAAATCCAATATTGATATTTTTGATTTCGTTATAACAGAAAACGATATAAATACTTTAAATGATTTAGATAAAGGTACAGACGGCCGAATATTCACTTTCTTGTTTTTCAAAGGGTAAGTAATAAAAATTACCCTTAGTGATCTTCCAATATTTTCTTATTTAAAATAATTTATGCACTATACGTTTGCTTTATATATATATATATATATATATATATATATTCTCATTTTTTTTAGGGTTGAAAATCACCCACATTATCCATTTAAAAATGAGTTGTCCCAATGAACAAGGGATTTGTCTTATTAAATAATTCAAGAACATAGAATTATATATCAAAAATAAAAAAGGGACGTTAAATTGTGTGATCGAATATTGAAACTTAAATGCACAAAATTAATTATGAAATGGAGAGAAAAGCTTTTTCTTATATTTTAATATAACCTATACAACATTTTTCGTTGCATTCGATGCTGAAGCTCGCCACGACGTATCATCGTGTGTATAACTTTGTAAATGGCACGTTCTGGATATTTTTGTTTAAGAAAGTCATTAACGATGTTTTGTTCGGAAACTTGATTTCCAATAGGAAATCGATTTTTTAATTGTTTTTCAAGGCGAGACAATATCTCATGATCTTCTTCCGAAGTAAATCCTTCTGCGCCTGTAAAACATAATTTATTGATATTACAAACATGCGTATTATAAAATTAATTTACTTATTTTTCAATGAATAATATATTAATATTTGTTATATATTTATATATCTTACCAGCTAATGAACCAGACATAGCTGCATCTAATGTAGATACTTGAAATAGTCTGAGTGCTTCATTAACATGAATTTCGGTAGCAAAAGGTTGAAGTTGCATTTTTGCTAAAGCTTCTGAAATTCTTATAATGGCTTCTAATTGACGAACAGTTATTGGTATAGATAATCGCTTTTCACTTCCTTTTTCATGTTCTCCTGTATTAGCACGCATTCTCACATAATGGTTTTTCAGTTTTTCACCTGCTTCTTTATTCAGTCTTGGACCACATTTCCTAAAGAAAATAATACATAATTATATTTACATGTGAATCTATATTATACTAACAAACAAAAATACAGTAAAAATCTAATCTTACAATCTGCAATAATTTATGTATCTCTTGAGTACATTTAACGGAAGTTCTCCTTCGATTAATTGTTCAGTTAATTGACCAGCATTACTATGTATACTCATAACGTGTTTTGCCAATGTAATATCTCTGTTTTCTTCGTGTTCATCTTTAACAATGAAAATCATATCAAAACGAGAAAGAATAGTTGGCATAAAGTCTATATTTTCTTCGCCTTTGATATCATCCCATCGACCAAAAATAGAATTAGCAGCTGCTAGCACGGAACATCTTGTATTTAAAGTTGTTGTTATGCCTGCTTTTGCAATTGATATAGTTTGTTGTTCCATCGCTTCATGTATAGCAACACGATCATCTTCTTTCATTTTGTCAAATTCGTCTATGCATACAACACCACCATCTGCCAATACCATTGCACCACCTTCCATTACAAAATTTCTCTGCAAATGATCAAAATAATTATTAAAGCAAATGGAAACAAATAAATATAAGTACTTAAATTATTGGTTCTTACTGTAATAGAATCTCGCGTTACAGAAGCAGTAAGACCAGCAGCAGAGCTTCCTTTACCAGATGTATACACACCAATTGGTGCAACTGTTTCTGCAAATTTTAATAATTGTGATTTAGCAGTACCTGGATCACCAAGCATTAATACATTGATATCTCCTCTACGACATAAACCATCAGGCATTTTTTTTCTAGAACCACCAAATAATAAACACGTGATTGCTTTCTTAATATCCATTGCACCAAAAATACTTGGCGCAATACTTTTTGCTATTCTTTCGTATAAATTTGAATCGGCTGCTAATCGTCTGAACAAATCTTCGTCATCCGATGTAATGCATGATTGCAAACCTGAAAAACCACGTATAATTATTTAGCGAGAAGAGTTTCAAAGTAAAAAAATGTAAATTACAATGTAGATTAAGATTTTTTGATAATAATAATAACAGATTTTACCACTTCCTGTGTTTTCTCCATCAACAACAATACCCACAACTCGTATATAAGGTGCTCGTACACCAACCAAAGCTTTGTCTTTCCTGTTTCCTTTATCGCCTGTTTTAGCTACTTTTTTAATGGAGTATATACCAAGAATAAGAACTCTATTTCCAGGTACAACTCTATCACATAAATAACGATCACAATATAATTGCAAATGTCTTGGCATTTCACCCTGCGGAATGTGTTCTGGTAATTCTTGTAATTTCAAAACTTGAAAGTCAACACATTTACATTTATCTGGCATTATAAAAAATGGATCCAACGGACATTTTGGTCTACCAGCTTGTTCTCTAGAATATATAGTATTTACGTTATTTAAGATAAATTTTTATTAAAATGCCAAATTTTTGAGAGATAATATTGTTTTCTTAGAATACATACGTATTACATTTTCTTGGTAAAGCGTAGCCCTCTAATCCTGGTTTAATGGAAATGTTAGTTTGCACGACTCTACATGAACGACATTGTATTGCAATTTTGGTTGCCTTAGATCTGATACCAGAAGCAGAAATAATAATGCCAGGAATTTTAATAAGTTTTGATACAATGTCTGGCTATAAGGGGATATCAAATATTTTTAATATATATTTATTATTTCATGTTAAAAATAATAACAAAATATATTGGTCATTATTTTAAAGATAATTCATTACCTTCATGCCTCTCAAAGAACTTGGATGCGCATCTGATGATAACAGTATTTGTATATCTTCAACTTTTTCTTCACCCTCAGGACGAGGAGCTGTAACCTCATCAGCAACATCTTGCGCAGCTTCTTCCAAGATTGAAAGATATTCCGTTGGAAGTTTCTGAACTTTCTCAGCAAGTGACTCATCAAAAGCTGCCAAATCTTCTAAATTGATTTCAAGGTAGTATTGACCAAGATTGTAATTTCTTTTGAGAGTATCTCTGATATAAAAATGAAAGAATTGTAATAATAATATACACATTGATTTGACATTTGATAAATTATTGATAATTAACGTAATTATTTATAAAATAATAGTATAAATTATTTACCGGTATTTGTAATTAAAATTGCCTTCGTGAAATTGTCTAATAAATTCTTTGAATTTCTTTTTAGATGCTTGTAAATTACCTTGAATCTCTGATGCATCGTTAACAGAAAAATTATCAGAAAAAAATATACCTGGATTATCAAAACCTTCCATATTATTTGTTATTAATATCTTTTATGGTTAGAAATTGTAACAGTCGTTTGCCGCTATAAATTTGGCGGAAAATTGTTCGTTTCTTATCCAATCCGTATTATTTACGTACATAGTACCAGAAAATTGTATAGATTGCGCTTCGGAAGTATTACTGTAGCGACCTGCTGTCGATAAGCAGATTTCTACTTTATCCTATGCAACGACTGGCGCCGCCATTCTCACTGCTCGTTCTTTGGCAAACTACTTGAGCGCTAGCACTCTATCACAGCTA